ATCAGGGCATTCATTTGCTGTGTGGTGCTGTCATCTGGAATTAAAATAATATGTTGACTTTTACAAACTGAGACGCCGAAAGTAGAAACATAAGCCAGTGAGCTGTAAAATGGTGGCATATTAACACATGCCCCATTGAGAACGTTCCTGCCCTCTGCTCATACAGATGGGACAGGGTCAGCGATGCAGAGATGCTGAGGTGAACGTTTTTGAGGAGATGGGTGTGTGTGATTTTATACATTAGTGGTATTACTGCAGTTTATACTTCATGAGCACTAAAATTCACTTAGTCTGTCCCAGGTATCAGCAGACCTTTCTTACTCAGTGTGTCGGACTCTAAGTGAAGTTGTTTTCTGGGTCACAGAGCATCTGTCAACTACTCTACTCAGCTGTTCAGTACAAATGCAGTCTTTGCCATTTGTAGATAAGTGGACGTAGCTGCTTACCGAAAGAATTTACTTAGATTGACAAGTGGCCATCTATTAGTCCAATTTATGGACCTCAGAGTTCAGACCCTCATTTAAAAATGAAAACAAAGAACAAGCAAAACAGACACAGAGAGACAGACAAAAACAAAGCCTACAGAGTACTCAGAACTTAAGAAGATATAACTGCTTGCCTAATTTAGGAACCAGGACCAGGTAATTTGCTTTGCTATGTCAGCCGAAGCATCATTTAATACACAGTCTAATTAACAACAATGGGTTTGTCAAACAGTATTTAGCCCAATCATTCTAAGTGGCCTTACTATATCTATTAATTTCATTTCAATAAATATCTCTTACAGTTACTGGTATTGTAGAGGTAGGGAAATGCTTTCAGTGGAAAATCGCTAGCTACAAAACTAATTTACTTCTGGCATTCTGAGGTTCTATACCGAAATAGTGGTAGACCAACTCAGAACTGTCAGCAGTAGGTTCTGAATAGCAGGTCGTCCCCATTTACTCTTAGGTCTGCCCTCATTGGAAGTGGCAGCACTATAGCCATGTATATCCCTTTGTTATGAGAGCCCCCTATAGGAGTCCTTGGGAACCTGCACCCTTCCAGGATTACAAACTGAGCCATGATGCACCAAGCAGACAAGCTCCCTCATGTGGTTTTCACCTCACTTTTCTTTTTCCACTTTCCATTCAGACTAATCATTAATATAAGAAGTTTTGATAATCACCCATGAACTTCATGTTTTTTAAAAGGTAGTGTAGCTTTCTTCCTGTAGTGTAACCATAGCAACTGTCCAGGAACAGAGAGAGAAAGCTTTCACACATGCTGTGCTAATTAATCCTGTCCTGCAGTTTTTCTTCAGCTGGGAGAGGCAGTTTAATAAATTTTGCATGAGTAAGCAGGTTTTGATTTGTGAACTTTACAAAAACATAGTGTTGTTTTTACCAAAATGATTGTGGAAAATGGCACTAAAAATCATATTTTAGGGTATTTCTCTCTCTCTCTCTCCCTCTCTCTCTCTCTCTCTCTCTCTCTCTCTCTCTCTATCTCTTTTAAAGGAGCCATGTTAAGTAATTCAGGCTTTCCTGAAAAAAAACACAGGGTCTATTTTGCCTATTTAATGAATATAAATGTCCTACGAGTGAACATTTTTCTTCATTGATGTATGGTACACCTTCAAAACTAACATCACTTCATGAGAGGTGAGTGAGAGAGCTTTTTCTCAAGAGATGGAAAAAAACTGTATTCTGAAATTAAAGATTCTAATTTTCTATATGACATATCTATGTACAAACCCTCTTAAAATAAAAGAACTTTTTTTTTTTTTTTTTTTTTTTAATTTGAAAGTTCATCCTCATTGCTCTTTTGGAAACCATTGTTGCCCAGCTGAATGAAGTTGGGGCTGTCTTTGACCTAAGTGTGTGAGACAGGAAAAAGTAATGTAGACTATGAACTTCTGTTTGTGTTTTTCACAAATACTTAACCAACAACAGTACTTAACATTTAGCTTGCAATCACATGTAATGGTTTGATTTCCCTTGTATTTAGGATATTCTGGTTTCATATTTTCCCAACTTAAACTACCACTTTCTACTTAATAAGTAGACTGATTATTTGAACTGTCAAAGAAAATCTCACATTTTCTCATTTTACTATCTCTGTTTGAGCTGTCTGACAATAAGGCCTTAGGAAAAGCAAGAGAATCTAGCTTGGATGCTCTGATATCCCATTTGACTTGACAGCCACATATGGGATGAGTCAGAACCTATTTCCAGACTTGCCTTAGCTCTTTGTTTTCTATATGGAAATGAAGTTGTTTGAGGACCAAACCTTTGATGGGGTTGCCAGTTCCTACAGACATTTTCCCAGCTTTATTGTCAGATTAATAGTACGGTTTTGTATGAATTGAGAGTAAAGAATGTGCTACAGAGAATATGATTGAACATAATTCTATTTGTATATAGAATATTAGGTGTAGTAAGTTGAGCATTGTTGTATATTTCTGTACATTTTGTATATCTATACATTTTTGTATGGGACATATATGAGCATTGACCAATTCCATATGTAATCATCTTATTGTAAAATACTATACTGTAGAAAAATGGACTTTAATGATAACAGAATTAATTAATAATTCTTTGTCTTTATCAACTATGTTATTAATTTTAAAGTTTACAATAACCCAGAAAATTAGCAGCCATGGTTTAGAAACAGGAAGAAGTCATGTTCCTAAACATCTCTGACAATCTTAATATATCATTGAAAAGAACATGTTTAAAGTAGGCTCACAGCAGAAACCTTGTATTATATTTTACTTCAAGTATAGTACTGACAAGTGATGCTTTATACTTGTGTTGATTTGTCACATAACTGAAAAATTGTCAGAACTATTGAACTTAGATGAAGGAGAGGTTTCTCTTTGCTCATGGTCTCAGAAGTTTCAGTTGGTAATGGGCTGGCCCTGTTGTTTTTGGATCTATGCTAAAGGCAGAATATCACAGGACAAAGTCCAAGGTGAACAAAGCTGCTCCTCTTGTAGCTGTCAGGGAGCAAAGAGAGAAAGTTTATCACCCTGACATCCCCTTCAAGACCATGACTGGTGAAACAATGTCCTTTGGCTAGGCCTCATTTTCTGGACAGGTCTATCAACTATCAGTATCACTGTGGGCCACTGAACTGGTCTTTTAACAAATGGGCCATGATGGAGCATTTCAGGTCTAAAATGCTGCATTGCATCAATCTTTAATGCCAAGGTCAGGAAATGGTCTATTATGACTTGTTTCACTTTCAAAAATAACATTGTGAGGTATATGATCTTTAAAAGAAGTAGAAGGATAGAGACATGGCTCAACGGTTTAGAATGCTTAGTGCTCCTGCAGGAGGTCTGAGTTCAGTTCTCAGCACCCAGGTCAGGCAGCAACTGCCTGTAACTCCACTCCAGGGAATTCAGTGCCCTCTTCAGGCACCCTTATGCATGTCCACATAGTATATGCATAGTATTCACACACACACACACACACACACACACACACACACACACACACACACACACACACAGAGAGAGAGAGAGAGAGTTAAAAATAAAAATAAATCTTTTTTTTTTAAGGGATTAGACTGGGGACATAGCTTGTTGGTAGTATGCTTTCTTCACATGCAGGGGCTGGGGTGTGTATGTTCCATCCTTATTATCTTTATTAGCACTGCAAATGAACATTTTTCAAAAAGAATTAGTCATTTTATACAACCTGCGGGAAAATGCTCAGGAAAAACTTGCTAAATTATGAAAGGGGCAGGGCTATATGGATGGCTCAACAGGTAGCAATATACTGCTTTGCAGAGGACCATGGTTGGCTTCAGTACCCACATCAGGCAACTCACAGATAATTGTAACTCCTGGTCCAGTAACTCTGACACCCTCTTGCAGCCTCCATGGCCTCCCTCATTCATGTGCATATACCACCATATACATAATTAAAAATAAAATAAATCCTCTTAAAAATGGATAATCACACATTCCAGAGGTAAACCATGGACAACATACATGAATTCACGTTTTTATTTGTTCAGCAGTCTATCACGGTTTAATAAGGATCAGGATAAACAATTAGGCCGAACAGATATTTATTGAGGGAGAAATAACTCACAACATAGACAGGTGAACACCAACAGGTTCCTGCATCCAAGAATTCCTCTGGATGTCCTCCTGTCCCTGTGTGGCTGGCAAGAGAGCTCTCTCCTCACCTCCTCCTACCTAGTTCTCCAGGTCACTTCTGCCCCTGGCTCCACCCCGCAATGGGTGTGGTCAGTGCCACAGAAGGAGACAAAATGAATATCCCACTACAGCAGTCCTGTGTCTGTGTGTGAATATTTCAGTTATTAGGTCAAATTGCATATTTTATGTTAAAGTAATGTTACCAATTTTTGTGCATTGCAACTTGATATCAGCTTTAATCATCCACATGTTCCAGTTTGATCGTTGCTTTATAATTACATAACTCATTGGTTTTTCAGATAATGTCCCCCAGTGTGTATCCACTTGTGAGTTTTTGAGAAACACTCACACCATAAGAACTTCTTGGGCAACTCTTCAAGAAAAGTATTACAGTTTCTCCTTAAAATACACATGTAAACACTGGCAGCACTGGTCGTTTGTAGAGCTGGGACTCTTTAGCTTTCTTAATTTATCTTTTCTGCAAGTTATTTGGCCAAAGAGCCCTTACTGATATGATGTACAAATTTGGAACTCTCAAACTAGAGTTCTGCAAAGCAGATGAAGTAACCAGGGAAATTTTAAGACAGCTCTGATTTTGTTTGGTGATATTTTAAAAATCCATAGCACAAATGTTTTGTTTTTAATATACATTATATCATAATTATTAATGTCTTAAAAGCACAGAGACTATATATGTTTTCCTCAGATATGTTAATCTTGGCTTGGTATTCATGAATCTGAATTACAGTAGTGTTGTTTTACCTTTTAAAATGTAACATTTGAATTTAAAACACATGTTCTTTTCATACCCCTTTAACCTCTTTACGTTTCCTGTAACCCACAGGTCTTGCAAGAGCAAAATCCGTCCCTAGCCACACATACTCCAATGAAGTGGTTACCTTGTGGTACAGACCTCCTGATGTTCTCCTGGGCTCTACAGAATATTCCACCTGCCTTGACATGTGGTGAGAAATGAACACTTTAGGCTAAACAGTGTGGCATGCTTGGTCTGGCCCAAACCTAGACAGACATCTAATAGTTGTTGGAGAAAGATCAATGGTGCATGAGTGTTGCCTGTGTGTGGCAGTACTGTGGCCTATTTAATACCTGATTGGGAATGGTACCTCATCAGAGTCTGCTCCAGATGGAACCTTCTAAGTGTTCTTGAAGGACAAGGTCAGAGGCTCTTTCTTTCTTTCTTTCTTTCTTTCTTTCTTTCTTTCTTTCTTTCTGTACTGTAATTTTTTTCTGTCAGTACTGGTTTTATTTTATAATGAGGAAGTGTGTATCTCCAAAGATCAGTAGAATAAGAATTAACATGACATGAGTTCATATTTACTACATAGCTCTGGCAATTGATTGAAAACTATTGATAACGAAATGCCTTGAGTGTTTAAAAATATGGGATTATCTCAGAATCATTTCATGCAATAGTTCTCCAGCTGTTAAAATCTTTTTAATGTATTAGAATGTTTGGTAATATTTGCTGCATACCTGTTAATACTGACAAGCTGCTGTGCATTCCCAATTATGTGAGATTTAAATATCATAATCATCTAAGGGAATGAATCTGATTCTTAACACTCTGGTGAGAGTCACTCATGGCCACTGGGCATAGCTTTTCTTTTTCTGTACTCATGACTGGGTTTGAAGTAAAATAATTCATGTAGCTTGTGGTTGTTCTTTACAAAAGAGCCATCATTCTTGAGTGATTATGCCCCTGAATTAAGAATTTAGCTACATAAACATGTAATGTTTATGGCCTCAGTGAAACTTCAGTATGTATTATTTACCTTCCTTCTGTGAAGTTACTTCATGACTCTACCACAAGCAATCTTTGTTGAGTGTTAAAGTACCCCTAGCTGTGGGGTTTGGTGTTCTGTGGAACCATTGAAGTCATCTTCAGCTTCTTATGTATATGAAGTTGTCTAGATATATAGCTTTCAATAAAACTGTAAAAATATAGGCCATCAAACACCTGCAGATCTGTTTTCATAAATCTAATCACATTTTAATGATATTCTAAAATCCCAAGAATAAATATCACCATCTATTGGCGAGTAACTGAACTAATCCATCTTTTCATCACACTTCCTGGCCTTGGCTTTTAAATGGTTATTTACTCTTTCTGTAGTTAATATTTTCCCTAAGGATAGGCCTGTCTTTGGACAACATAGATAATTAGACCCTTAATAATAATGGGGAAAGTTAGAGATGGAGGCCAGTGCACACACCAGGGTACCAGTTAGTTGCTTTCTTAATAATCATTTGCTACTTTCTGTTCCTAGTTAAGAGCTGGCTATGCAAATAATAATTTTATCACAGTCTTGGGTTATAAAGTATTTTTCTATTTATTTTTGTATATGGAAATTCTTAGTCGTCTTTCAGTGAGTTCAACTAAGGTCTCTACTAATAAAATGTGTTTTGAAATGTTTGTGGTGTAGAGCCAGTTTTTTCTCAGTTGCTTGGCAGTTTAGTCAAGATTATACCCTCCTAACCACAAGAAGTTGTTCTTCCTGTGCTAAATAAATAAATGTGCATCTAGGGAGATGGCTCAGTTATGAAATGTTTGCAAGTATGATGAACTAAGTTCAGCATGGTGGCACACATGTAACCCAGCACAGAAAATGAGGACAAGAATGATGACTTAGGTTTAGCATGGTAGCACACACATGTAACCCAGTACAAAGGATGAGGAGACAGGCAGGCACTGAAGTTTAGCCAAACTGGTGATTTCCAAATTCAAGGAGAGACCTTGTTTCAAAAATTAAGGTGGATATCAAGGACACCATTGACCTCTGGCCTCTCAATGATACACAAGCATGCACCTACACTAATATGTACACACAATTACACTTATGTCGATCACACAAACAGAATGATGTTAAGAGATTGGGGTTATTGCTTAGTTGGAGGACCTGAACTCAATCCCCCAAGCCAATGTACAATTGTGAGTGTGCTGGACAATCAGATCCCTGAGCCTCAGTGTCCAGCCAGCCTCACTTATTTGGAGAGCTCCAAGCCAGTGAGATAACTTCCCTCCTCCCACAAAGGTAGAGAGCTCCCTGAGAGACAACACTCAAAGCTGACCTCTGCCTCCACACACACACACACACACACACACACACACACACACACACACACACACACACACACGCACACGCACACGCACACGCATGCACGCACACAGGGTGGGGATAAGCAAAATGCTCTATACAGTAGGTACCAAGTGCATGATGGATTCTGACTTTCTAATGTTTGTTTCTGGCATACACTGTTTTCTATTCTTCCCTACCTCACCCCACCCCATGTGTGTGAGAGATAGTTTGGGCACTTGCTGCCAATTTGCTTTGAACAGAAACATAATAGAAGCATACGAAGAAGCCTATTATTGAAGAGAAAGAGGGAAATCCGGTAGAAAATAGTGGACCCCAAATGCCCTTTTGTGTCTATGCCAAGAATATTCATTGCCAGAAACAAATAGCAAATGTGCTAGGTTTGAGCAGCTTCCCATGCTTATTTTCAGTTCACATCTAAGCCCTAAAATCTAGGTTGTGTCTATGCTATGCCTGTCATTGTGAATCTGATTTATTTCGAGCAATTTTCTAAAACCTGTTTTGCTATTCTGTAGTCAGATAAAAATGCATGTGTCTTTCCCACGAGAGAGACTTTCACAGGCCACTGATTCACTGATTTTTTTTTTTTTTTTTTTTTTGCATAATCAATGACATCGATGCAGGATATTCAGACACCTGGAAATGGGATTGTAATTGAGTCATGGCTCAGCTGCACCAAGAAGAAATACAAATATTAACCCAGGGACAGCAGCAGGGAGGCAGGTGGCAGGGGTTTCAGGCTAGTTTTACAGTTCGTTTACTGTCCTGGGGCTGGAGTAACTAAAAACTGATGATCCCTACACCATGTTAAATAGACACAGTCGCTAAAAATATTAATGAAGACACGTATGCAGTAACACTGTCAGCATGTGATGGAAATCAGAGCTAGCACTGATAGGAGCTTCTCCTGTGGGTCACCCGCACCATGGAGATGTGTGAATGCCCAGTGACACTTAAGGACTCATCAAGTTAGTTTTGATGCCTTTGTTTCTCTTCCTAAATGAAGATCGGATTCAGCGTTGTCTCTTGTAACATGTCTGTTAATTCTTGGGTTTTGTGCCTCCCTGAAAGTCACAGCATGGAAAAACATTGCTAAGCTTCAGAACCAGAGGTATTTACAGGGTCTGAAGAGCACAGGAAGGGGAGCATGGATGTGAAGGCAGCATATCTGCATAACTCTTCCCTGGCAGTAGAGTCCTGCTTTCTGCAGAGCTGGGCTTTTAAATAAGCTTCTGTTCCTCTCTGCATGCCCAGAGCTGTGTTTGCAGCTGTGCATACTCTCTAAAACAGAACATTGTTGGGGATTATTTTAAAGGATTTTTAATATCAGGTAACTAAATTATATGTTAATAAGTGATTTTCTCATCAAAGGCATTGTGCTTTAGAGGGGGCTCGTGGTATCAACTGCAATGCCCCCCCCACCCAGTATGCAAAAGAATGATGGTATGTCAGGCGTTTCCTATCATCATCTTTTTCAAAGCTAATTAACATATTAACTATGCTTGTCAAAATGTGGGGTAGATCATTTATAAATAAGCCTGTCAAACATAATGAGATCGCATATTAAATCACCCTGTCTCTATTACATCTCTGATTTAAGATTAAAATTAATTTATTTAACATTGCAGCAGCTGGGTGATTAAGGGAAAAAACCTGTTCTAGTCATAATGTATAGGAAAATGTCTGCATCACAGTTTATTTTTAATATATTAGAAAGAATATTGGCTAATTATTAAGTATCATAAAGTCATTTGGCCCTGATTCATATTACATAACTTAATGGCCATACATATTGGCAATATCCTGTGTTCTGCCATTATCTTTACTGATCTTTCTATCTTGAATCAAAGCAGTTTACACAATGAAATTTCTTAAGACTTGGGTTTATATCCCATTGTTTTAAGAAAAAGAACCATAATTAAACCTTTCTATACCTGCTACCCTGAGCATAAATTTATTCTGTGTGAAGCCTACATTAATTTGAAAACTTGAATGATAATAATAGTAATAGTTGGTACTTTTATTGACCATAAACTGTATATAAGTCCTGCTATGCTCTTAAATTACTTCCTTATTGTACAATGAAATAAGGAACATTCACGAAGTAATATAATTACATCACACGGTGAGTAAATTGCCAACTTGCAGTGTAGGGCCACATTCTCAGTATCCCTTCCTTGCCACATTCTGTACTGTCTTATAAGATGATTTGGAAGAAACTGACCTTGTTTTACTACTAATGTAACTCTGTAACACTAACAAAGTACTTGGTAATATATCATATTTCTATCCAAGTTACGCCTTTTGTGTAGCTCAGATATTTTGGGTGGCTTTGTTCTCACTCATAAGCCTGCACTCTCTGTCTCTCCTAACAGCTTTATTCCAGTTGCTTCTACTATATAATTTTATTTAGTGAATACTTTTAAAAAAAGCCAAGACATGAATCATTGAATTGAATACATTTTCATGGTACTACTGTCTATGCTGACATACATCTTCCCAGCTCCTAGTCATTATTCATTTATCACTTCTGCTTAAGTGAATACATCCATTTTTAAAGGAGTTCTAAGGAAGAAGGAAAGATGGAATTCCTGAGCTACAGCAGAGTCATCTATTGTCAATGTTGTTGCATGTTTTCTAATTATTGCAGTCATAAGGCCAAGGAAGATGTGAAACAGTCATTGTCAAATTTAATAGTTCTCTGATAATTCTTAAACAGTGCTCAAATAATGCACTATCCAGCTGACTTGCTACAGCCACTGACAGTGGGATGCAATGGGACAGAACTGGGGACAGCCACAAAGATCTTTATGTTTCTGGTGGCATCCGTGGTTCTGAGTCCATTGCAA